AAAGGATAAAAAATTAACTTCAAAAATTTTGCTCTGGAGAAAAGCAATACACCCTAAGCAACATGGATTGGAAGCATACGCAATCACAACAAATCCACCTACCACCCCAAAAGGGTAATAAGACACACAAGTTGCTGAATGTCAGACTTAATATTTAAAGACAAGAATATTTTGGGTGAAGAAATACTGAATGCTATCACCTCAAATGAACGTCCTTTCCACCCACTCTATTTAGTGTTACCTCTTCAACTTAAATTTATGTTCTCTCATAAATTTACATTTATCCAAAAGTTCTATTATGCCCAATAGTCTCAAATAATTGATAACTCAATCTGATAACCCCCATTAACTAAATTAAATACTATGCTTCTTTTTAATTTAATACAAGGAAGTAATCCCAATTTTGCATCTCTCCTGTTGCATGCTCTTCTATCCTATGCATTTATTTGCCCAAAGTGGTTTTTTTAGGTTAACTATATTTTCAGTTGACATAGGCTAAACTGGATATTATCATACTGTACCTTGTCCTGGCTGTTCAGTTCTTGATATGGAATGTGAGCTGGGAGATAAGTATGGAGGACTGCACAGAAGGCCAACCCATCATTCCAACTGCTACTGAAGTTCGTGATGTCAATATTCTTTAAGAGAAAAAAAAAATCTATAAATGATCGTAGATATCCATTTAATACTGCTTTAGAATTTGATCTAAGTCATTAGAAAATCTGAAGTGGGTTGTGCCCATGAAAGCATCTACATTTTTTGTTAAGTCTCAAAGGTGCACAGGACCATTTGTTGTATAAGTTCTCAGTTATAGACTAACACGGCTACCCCTTTGAGATGGATTAGAAAAATTACTTGTGTTGTGCCATTTACCACAAGAACACTAAAGCACTTTAGAAATGGAGATGCAATCAAAAACCACCTCAGCGCCAGGGCTAAAATTGTAAGAGACCAGAATCCAACATTACTGAGAGTGAGAAACAGACCAGCATGGGAAAGATAGATTAGTTCTGGAACTTAATTTGCCTTACTCTCTACAAAAAATGCACAATGCATATTAGTATGTGTTTGTGTTCCTTTGACACGGTAACATTTCAGAGAAAAACATGTCAAGACACAAGCAAAACCAAGTTAGATACAAATACCTGGCCTCCTTTTGCAACCCCCAAAATACATCAGGCTGCTATGATGTATTGTCAAAGCATGGGGAAGATCTGATTCCTCCTCTCCCTCTCCCACCCCCGCAACATTCTATTGTATTACCAATCAGGCAAAAGGACTAATCAATGAACACCGATATTTCCTTTCTGACTGTATAAGGTAATCATTTCAATGACAGGTAGCAGATACAAATGATTCAAACATTATGTAAACTCATTACTAATTGTAGTTCAAAGATGATCCACTGGAACACCTAGCCATGAAATATGGTGGAGAAATAGTTCTTTGAATAAGACACAAGTAAAATTCCTAATTTTTCCACTCTGCTAACCCCATTCCCCCAACTTTCTGTCCCAATCATAAGCTAACTGGAACAGTTAAACCGTTCCCTTTATTCAACAAGGAATTGTACAGAATGTTGTTTAAAAGAGTCTATGACCTCTGCCAAAGGAAGTTGGTCACTCAGGCATTTTGTTCCTTTTCTAAATCACTGTACACTTGGCTGCTATCAGGAAAATAATGGAAAAGAGGTTACTGTCACCCAAAAGCATTGCAAGGAGTTTAGATTTTTATTTAAGAACCAGTTACAAACTATATCCTTATTTGAAATCCACATGGAGAAATGTAAATGTTCTGTCAAATCTACCCTTCGCTTAATTGGGCTTACAAAGTCACTAGACAGCTTTGCTATTGCTTTATATTTGGTGTTACACTAAAACTGAAACAATCTGCAGTCAAAGAATCAGTAGATAAATCAACTCTCTCCCCTTACAACAGCAATACCAATTACACTTCTTCAGGAAAGGCTAATTTTAATCATGTCTCTTGTTTAATCTCCATCAGAAAAGATTCAAAAATATGAAGCAGGATAAAAACTAAAAACAATGCAACTTAAATTATGTGACTCAAGTTTCTTGTCAAGCCAATGAAGATTTAGGATTGCAAATGGAAAGCAACAAATGCTGCTACTCTGCTCCGCTGACCCCCTGAATCTTCACTTCCTATCCAGTGTCAGCTTTTTTTATACAAATGCCACAAAACACAAGTTCAAACTATGGTGATGTAAGAGTACGTGCTTGGACTCACAATGCCTGCAGGCAACAGCCTATGCTTTGCTTTGCAATCCAACAGCCTGCTTCCAAAAGGAAATAGCTTTGTTTGAGCCCCCCAGTGCTGTGGGAATATGTTCTTTACATAGTCTCAACTTCCTCAAGACACAGAATTGAAAAAAAGCTCTCCGTCCTTGCCATTCAAACCACCAGGAAGCTGGAGACCAACTGAATTAATGAGATTCCAGTAATTTTCTAATGTCAAAACTAGTTAAACACTACTTGCATTAAGGGAGAAGGAGAATCTTTTCAATTTCAGAAAAAAAAAAAAACTGAGCAAATTTTATAAAACAGCACTGAAGTTCAAAACAGCTAACAGCCAGAGTGAATACATAAACCTTACCATCTATTTATTCTAAGCTTCTCTATGATGCTGTGTCCCTGCCACTCCCCCCAGCCTCTCGTCCCCACCACATTACATGTACACCCTGTGACTCTTTCC